TTCCACAAGTTCTTAAACACACTGAGCATTTGCTTTAATTTATTTTTACTGTTTTTGATAAAACTTTCCCTTTTCAAGCTACAAGTTCAAGGAACATGGACTAGAAGTAATACTACTACTACTACTACTACTACTACTACTAATAATAATAATACTAGCAGCTCTGCATTTCCCAAAGGTTCCAAATTCCAAATAAAGCATACAGATAATAATTATATATATGGATATAACTCTACTAATAACACAAATGGAAATATAATGTATTTACTTATAAATTTAAGGCAGTCTTCACAAGATACTATATACTCTAAAATACCATACACAGATATATATATTAAACAACAAATTGTAACAGGAAAAAAACTGACAGTTAAGGATAAAGATAGGCCTTCATCATATAATGAAAAATCCTTAAAATAGATTAAACTATGTGGGTTTCAAGATAAATAGATAATTCAAGCCTTGCTAATGTGGAACAAACTCCAATGAGGTTACTACTGAGATGTCTCCATCTGCATTGCTACCTTGACATACATAGTGGTACACACCATCCATTTGAGTGAATGGGAAAAGCTACTGGAAAGCTAAATGATTACTGCATACTTGCTAACTATACACAGGTCTCTCTTCTACTGTTTTTGTTTCTATAGGTACAGTCCTAATAAAGTTGGTCATGCTTAAGTTCCAAAGAAATTAATTATAAATATATAATTATAAAAATATAATTAATTATATTTATCTGCATCTTTCCATTTGATTTCAGTGGGGTTTAAGAACAACTCATTATGTAGATCACTTGTTGAAACAAGAATATTATTCTTCTGCTGGTCAGTATCCCCAAAATGCCATTTAAAACATGTACCTACACACTATTTCATTTATAGAAGTGAGAACAAAAACTACATTTATTTAACTCACTTACTTGAAAGATAACATCCTAGCTTCTCCAAAATTCAAATAGTTAAAATAATTAAAAGAAATATTACAGTAAAAACCATAATAAAATAAAATAAAATATTACTGTATTCAAATAACAACAGATACATTTTGCTTCCTAAGAAAGTCTGGCTTATTATATTTTCCTCTAAAACATAAATTCCAAAGTGATAAAAAAAAATAGCACATCTTTCACTGGAGACTCAGCCATTACTTAATTTGCATTTTATTTACAGGGTGTAATTATGCCTTCAACAAGACTTGTGACTTAACATATACAATAAAGCTGTCAGTCATAGATAATATAACATTTTTGCTGACAGAAGCCTCATTTTTAAGAAGAAAAACTAGCCAAGACAAAGAGTTTAGTTCATTACTAAGCCATTACAACTGCCGCAGATGAGAGACCATAATAAAAATTGGAAATATGGTAGATCAAAGCTTCTATCATACTTTCAATCAGACATACCTCTCCATATGAATTATCAAATCCAAAATTGAAACATTATTGAGAAATGAAATGTTAAAGATTGACAGGAGACAAGCCATTTTAGATGTGAAACCAGCACTGGAGCAGCATACTATATAAGGCTTCACAGTGCCTCAAATTTGAAGGCAAAAAGACGCTTGAGAGCTGTTTGCAGTTCCTTGTACAAACATGTCTTTTCCTGGGATTGTGTGGCAATTGAGGATGGCATGTACCCGCTCTCAGGAAAAGATGTGGCTGCTTTCCGGGCAGATAGGGGCTACATTCATATCCCCACTTGTTCCAAAGCTTTTTTGTGTGTGTCCAAAACACTGCACAGCCCTAATACTACATTCTCATTTGCATGTATATAATGCCATAGTGATCTTATATCCCAAAACGTAATTTTTAATAAGAACACTGCACAACTTACCTCCCACTGATTGTAATTTCATCAATTCCATAGTATCTATGTCCAAAATTAACCCAGGGCATGGTAGTATGATACTGGCCAAATAGATGAATCTTAACTTTTGAGACTTTGACAAACTCTTGAAGTGATGGTGTATTGTAGAAATCATTATATCCTGGCCTACGATTTGGTTCTGGAGTAAGAACACTGAAAGTAATGTTTCCATGGGAATATGGGGTATGGCTATTGAAACATAGAGAAAAAAAATGCATGTCCAAAATATTTCTGAGCTTTGAACAATTGCATAGTTGTTTAAACATAACTTTTTTACCAGGGGAAAAAATGGAACCTGATAAAATTTGCAAGCATTAGAAGGGATGCATCATATTTATTTAAAATAATTTTAATCCTTGTTTCAGGTTACAAACCCTCCCCAGGCAGAATTGAGGATACAACAACAAACAATAAATAGTCAAAACCAGTGAAAATAAAAACAGCTGGCTTTTTAAATACTGTTTTAAAAAAGGAAACCTTCTGTCCTACAGAAACATGATCTAATCAAAACCCATGCCAATCTGAGTCTTTAGGGCAGTGTTGTCCAAACTTGGCCACTTTAAGATGAGTGGACTTCAACTCCCAGAATTCCGCAG